CAGGAAATTGGAAACAAACTTCCTTAAAATCAAGCTTGGCAAATACCTTTCCACCAGATAATGAAGCGAGTATGTCATTAATGGCTGACAATGAGTATACATCTACTTTACCGCTGCACCGTAAACAGAGGCAATAAATCTCCACATAAACGTGCACTTCCATCTGGTTTTGCAACGATTACCACAGGAGTGGCCAACTTAGAAGTTCTAACTGGTTCTATAACTCCTAACTGATGAAGTCGATTCAATTCTTGTTCTACCTTTGTTCTCAGTGCAAAAGGAACCTGTCTTGCCTCGCCACTAAATAGACCCATTTCTGAATTATTGAATAAATGCTGGAATTCTTGCATCAGATCGTTTGCGTCATATTGGTGATATAGTCTTTCTATTCTGATCTAATGGTTCAAACCACTTTCTTCCAACAAGTCCTGGTCCATTTCCTTTAATCACTAACGATGGCAGATTCATAACGTTTCCTTTAAATTGCACCCTCACCATTGTAGTGCCCAATACTTCCATATTTCGATCGGCCCACGTCTGTAATTTGATTTCTTCCGATTCTAACTTGTTTCGCTGTATTTTAATTTCTTTTAAGGTCCGTTCGCTCACTACAGTGTACCCAGCCCCTGAATCAATTTCCATCATGATTAGTATATTTTCTGGTCAATATTGATTAAGATTTTAAGGGTGATATCCTACTTCCACGTATTTTAAATAGAGATGTATATTTCTCTACATGGTTCAAAGTCAGATTTTTATGTTCCTCAATTCGGTGTACTGGCTCTCTGGCTTCATACCTCTTTCCGTTGTGCCTCAATTTCGTTTTTTCTCTGGTTTGGAATTTTTGTTCTTCCACTCTTTTGTTTCGTGATACATGCTTTTTCTATGTGCCCTTTGTTTCCACAGAATTTACATATTACCTGAGCAAATCGGCGATTATTTGGCTTACGATTCCCGGTGCACCAAAAACAGCGTAATATGGCCGGTTCATTATTTCTCTTGTAGTCCACCTTTAAGTTATACACTTGGTGTTGTTTCCGTCTGACCTAAGCTAGCTAACATCTTTAGATCCTGCCTCTGCTGCATTCAAAATGGCCTTAAGTAGTGTCCATTTTTGTCAATAACACGTGTTGTATTCCTTTATCCCTTAAACCACGCTCTAGTGAGGCGCCGAAGTTGCAATTCATTGCAACTTTCTGTAGTTCTGCAACAAAGTGGTTGATACTCTCTCCTGGTTTTTGTGACATCTGGTTAAATTTGAACGATTCGACGATTTCACTAGGTTTCGTGTTAAAATGGCTATTAAGAGCATTAAGTACTTCATTAAAGTTAACTTGTGTTATTTCTTTCGGGGCTATGAGTGTTACAAGTTCGTATAGTTTCACCCACAGTAAAAATAGAGCACACTTATCTTGGTCATTTTCAATCTGGTTTGCTTTCAAGCAAAATTTAAAGCAGTCCTTGTAAGTTTTCCATTGGCTGTCCATGTCGAATGGTTCGAAACCAACTCCACTGGTTGATGTTCCCGGGATCGACATTTTTGGCTTTTGATCTCAAATTGTAATTTCTGCTGGTAAGTCTCTATTTTAATCCTCGTCGCCAATTTTATATCGATTTTGTTTTCGACACAGTTTCACATAAAAACACCTAGTTAATCAACAATTAACTTTATTCACTCTCGGATACAACTGACTGGGGTGACAATTACACAAGGACACTCTGAGATAAAGGAAAACTATGTTGGAATTTCCACCTTTTGACTCGACGCCCACATCAAGTTACAACAAAAATACTGCAGTTCCGTTTACGTTAAGTTTAAATTCAAAAAAGCCAAATAACAAACCATGCGCAAGTGAAGCCAGACCACAAATATGGCAGAGGGACAGAACGTGTGACATCAGAACTTCTATTATTACACGGTGCAGCGTAGCCATGGTTACTAGATAAATTGGTGGGGGGAGCTGCTAATGTTTTCGCCCTTCGTTTTCGTGCTAGAGACGACCACTCTTCATAGGGCAATGTTCCGATCGTCCATCCAATAGGCGAAATTAGTCAGTTACGTTGACACGTATGTATTTTTAAAGGGGTTTTTTATTTTTTGAGTTTTTTTGTAACCGACGATCGTCGACTGGGCTCCAAAATGCCGAAATTTTGGGTCTTTTACGAAGAGGCGCCAAGAATTTAGAATCTGTCGATTTCTAGCAAGTGAGATGTGAAAATGTCAGGCACAGTTATAACAGCAAAAGTAGATTTTTATGCCATTAGAAGACTACACTATTTTTCAAAATGCGGAAATGAGATATTAGGCAAGAAAGTTGTTCCGCTTACATTAACCGTAATAAAATTTTGAATAATTTTATGTACATATTTGAAATTGGATATTGAAGTATACACTATATTTGTTTAAACTTTAATTGTTTTAACACTGAAACAGTTTCATTAAAAAAATAAAACTTTTAATTTCCTATTAATTTCTAACTTATCGGATAAAGATATTGTTTTTCTCTTTAAAGAATATTTTCTCCTTTTTGTTTTTTATGCCATCAATATAGATTCCAACAATGGAAACTATGACTCGTTTATGGAATTTTGCTGTTATTACCCTACCAGCTTACTCTATAAGCTTTTCTAATATTTTTAATGTCAAAATATGTACCAGGTCGTTTTAGTTGTGTAGGATGATATTGTATACGTTCGACTTAAATCCTATTGAATATTGAAATGTCTTTAAAAGAAACTTGAAATTAAAAATGACTCGTACATTTTTTAAAAAATATATTGTAAACTGAATGTACAGTAAGTTAGAGCTGTTTTACACGAAAATTTTATTCTTATAAATTATTAACGAATCAATGTTATTTTGTAATAATTTATCTTTAATTAATGAGTTTATTCAGAAAATCATTACTATTAAAAAAATTGGTTAAACAAAAGAAAAAAAAATATTCTTGGGAAGAAGAAAATTTATGCATTTTTAAAGTAATGAAAACTAAAAATTACTTAAATAAGTAATTTAAAGGCTTTTTTATTTTTTATGTAAAAAATAAAAATGAATGGTGCAATTTCGTGTCCTCTTAAAGAACTTTGTCATTTATTAGGGATCGTGGCCTTGCAACTTTTTAAAAAGGTTTGACAGTTTCTTTTTCTGAATTTAATTATATTTGGAAAGGTCTTATTTTATATTTAGAAGTCTGTTATGTATTTGGTTTATGGAGGTTTTGTATATACTCGGTCTGCTTTCCTTCTGAATCCTAGTTGTGGCACTTCTAGCCAGCAAAAGTGGCTCTAGGCAGAAAATTCTGCTCTGCCCCCCGACCGGTTTATCTAGTAACGGTGCCCTCGAGTCTCCTTAAAAGTTGAAGGCCGAAACGTGGTGTCGGAAGTGGGGCCACTTTAAACTATCGAACGGACAAGACACCACTACCAAAAAGGGTTGGCAATTTTCTGACCAATTACTGGAAAAGAAGGCATTATGATATACGATAATTTAAATTCATCTAAGAAATGATGTTAGCTGATCTAAGGTAATTTTCTAATGTTCGTGAAAGATACGTTTTTCCACGTGGCCAAACGAGGGAAAAAGGAGTCTGTAATAGTTTTATCTGACTTCGAATAAAAATTATCGGCCGCACGTAATTTTGGAGCGTTAACGGACAAACACGTCGATGTTAGGCACCTCCTTTCAAACCGCACAGTTAAAAATGTTCGGCTTTTATATCTGTAATGCCTCCGTGCATGTGTGTGTGTGAATTCCTTATAACTCTTGCAATTTTTGTCCGATCTGGATGACATTTTGATTGATTGTTTTATGTTCCAACAGAAAGTGTGGGCTATTTATTTTAAGGAAATATTACTTATAGAATAAACATTTTGGCAATTTTGGATCGGTGACCACACCTATGTTGCAGTGATGTTTGTACTCTGCTAGTGAATTTCCATTAAGCCACACTTTAAAATATTTTGGAAAATGGCATATTTTAAACTTACTTCATTAAATTCAAACTTGAAAAATGATAGCCACATCCAGCCACTTCTATAACAAATTTTTAAAAATCTTTTAAAAATGTAGTGGCCACGTGACATTCTATTATCCAATTGGAAATAATGATCTAACTGGCCTGTTATTTAGTATTATCATGCATCTAATTAACATATGTATGGTTTGTTTGTTTTATCAATGTGGAATTAAAAAGACTGGCCTTTTTTGTAAAAAAGAATGCCTAGGGGAAAGCGTAACAGTAAAATTGGTTGGGTAAAATCTAGATCTAAAAGAATAAGAATGGATGCAACCCCCAAAGGCCTTGAAGTCAAACTCTGGCAATGTCGAGTAAGAATGGCTGTCCGGGACTGCCAAAACAGCAACACCGCGCCGAGCTGGATTCAAAACTCTTCTCGATTTAAAGAAATCTCTACTTTCTCGTTAAAAATATTCCATCGTGCTTGACGGGAGAATTTCTAGTTAGATATTGGTATTAATCAAGCTATTGAATACGTAAGTCACAAATTGGCAAAATTACGGGCTGGAAATTAACACTTCGGTCTTCACACATTTTGACTCATTTTTAACAATATTTCTTTTGTCGTATAAGGCTCAGTTTTGACTTTTCTCAAGCATTCTACCGTCCTCTTCCTCCTCACCATAACCACCTCCGATACATTAATGCCCATCTCTCCCCGTTTCAAATTAATGCTGCTCAATGACAAAATTGTTAATAAAGATATTTTTAAGTTAGTTCTCTCTTTCGGTAGTATTAACTGTGTTTGTTTGTTTGTAAAACTCTCCCCTCCACTCCCCATCGGTGGAGTACTCAAAGGTAAAATCTTCTTATGCCAAAACCAATAATAATAATAAGCTTGCTCCATCTTTTTTCTGCATGTATGTTTTTAAAACAGTTTATTACTTTTACTCCACACAGTATTTCCTGGCTTGGCCTAGCCTAATACACAGCCAGGAAGGCCAAGATGGAAAAAGTCAAAACACCAAATAACAGATGCAGAGATTAATTTTAAAACAGTAGTTTTAATTCAAAAGTATTTCCCCAGTGCTGTCCACCTGCCCACCCCCTATCTTCTAGTTTAAATACAATTAAAAATTTTTCTTTATTTTTAATCCGGTTAAACAGTGGTCTTCCTTTGTCCTAACTTTTCCTGTAAGAGAAAATCAAATATTAATTCTTAAGATTAATGTGATATTTTCTTATATTAAAAATCGGAACTGTCGCCAATTATGGTAAACATACTATATTTACTCGCATATAAGACAAGGTTTTTATCCATTTTTCACTGCTTCAAAAGCCTAGGTTGTCCTATACGTGCTGATTCTCACCTTCTGTTAAGAATTGGCAAAAGGTTCCCAATTGTTCAGCTTTACATGATTTTTCCTTGAAGTTTAAGATGCCAGTAATTTTTGCGGGACAATGTGTGCATTTACATGCATTTGATATTTTATTTGTTATTAAACAAAATAAAATTAGAATTTATTAATAAATCTAATTTTCTTCATTTTGATCTTTTAAAGTCACACCTTGTCTTATATGAGAAATCGTCTTATATTCAAGTAAATACTGTATACCAGAAAGCAATATAACCGTACATACCGGATGCCCTTCTTCACGTGCAGGCCTACACAGGTACTATAATAAACCTGGGTTATGCTTATTTAAGGTTTAAAAATATTAGAGCCATTTTAATACTAATTGCAATTTTCTAGAAGTTAAACTGTTTGGAAGGCCGTTGGCTTCGGGTACTTTTTTAGGTCTTTTTCCGCATCTACGAGTGTTCCCAAATGTTTGCAAATTACTTTTTTCTATTTGTGAAGAATGTTACTTGTTCTTGGTTTGAAATTTCCAGTCACAACCATCTTCAGAAGACTCTGTTCTGCAATTTTGTCCAAAACAGACGTTTTGGATGTAACACAGGTGCAGACATACTTTGAACGGCTGTGGCAAACTCTGCATTCACTAAACAAAATATTTTCTTCAAATGCCATGCAAAATGAGCAGCGTGTGGCATAAAACCATATTTGGTACTGTACATCACAACAATCATCTCTTGCAAAAAACACAACTGCTACAGTTCATAACAAAATTGCCATCATGACACTGTGACATAAACACCAACAGATTTGTAATGTAGAGTATAAAACTGCGTAGAAAGGAAATTTCAGATCAATTAATTAACAGATCTAATTTTCTTGCACCCCAAACTTCGAAAATTCATTTAACCTGCTGCACATCATTATGATATTTTGGTCTTGCCATTCCTACAAATAAACTAATCATTCAAAACTACGATGTGGTGTCAGTTGCCAACGGGAAAAATGGCAGGTGTTGGAGCGGTAATTGGGGCAAAGTAGCCTGGTGCATTAAAATAATTAAAAATTTTCAGTCATTTTAATAAAGGTTTTCTTCAAGCTGATATACTGTTACTTCTGTGGTAATATGAAAAAGAATAAGAAAACACTTGAAAATTTTATAATTTTTGTAAATAGTCTTAAACTTCAAGAAAGAATATTGGTTTTGGACGAAATTGCAGAACAGAGGCTTCCTAAGACTTATGCGTAGATGGAATTTCAAAACAAGAACAAGTAATGAGGTTTGAGCTTATGATTTCATCGACAAAAATACATCCATTTGGTAATGTTTAATGCAAAAAAATTTGGATCGACCTCTTTGATCCACGTGGAAGGTCTTATTTGGGTCGAAATATTATGAGACTGAATGTAAAAATAGAATGATAATTAAGGCTACTTGGTGATGTGATTTTTATTGTGTTAAGTTTTCAGATCTCCCATAGGTCTTTGAAATGTAGTGAAAAATGTTTTCTAAGGAACTGTACCATGGGGATCATAAGAGGGTTAATGCACTAAATATTATCAATTGAGAAAAAATTGGTTTGATCAATTCCCGACTTTGATAACGGTGACAAATATTTTTGCAGCTAGTAAAGAAAGAGGTAGACTTTGTGTTCCTTGGTGCAAACAAGTCCCAAAGTAAGAGGGTATCTTTAATTTTGTTTTTGTTAAATTTAGTAATAATTTTTGACCAATTAAATTTACGGACTCAATAGTATAAAAGTTAAAGAACGATTTACTTTATTTCTCAAATATTGCCTGCCAATGTTTAAATATGTAATAGAAAATCAACTTACGGCACATTTCAGAGCCTGATTCAAATCGTCCAGAATGTCTTCTTTTGCTTCTATTCCAACAGAGAGCCGAATTAAGTTATCTGTAATTCCAATTTCTTTCCTTTGCTCTTCTGGTACACTTTGATGTGTCATCAGAGAACTAAAAAATAGAGAGATTTTAAAAATGCATAACAAATTTTAAGTACAGTAGAACCTCGATTATCCGGACTAATTGGGGATGAAGGTAGTCTGGATAATCGAAACAGATACTTTAATCTGTCTTTTAATGATAATACAACACGTTTTCTTTTCAATGACATATCGGTAATATTAAAAGTAAATAATGTATTTAAATCGTGATCAAATTTTCAAGAAACAAACGTTCGTATTTAATTTGGACTACTACTGACCAGCGCTAACAGACTACCTATTGTTTTAAAGGCCCTCTGGTGGCGCAAGAAGATGGATTTTATAAAATAAAAAGCAGTTGAAACTGCATTTTTATGAGTAAAAATTTGACAAACTATTTATCGTTTTATGACGAGTAAAATTTTTCGTTGCATTTGCGGTTTTTAAGTAGTGGATAAACCTTCAAAACGCGAGGCCTTCGGATCGTGAGGCATAGGCGGTGGCCCACATTGCCCATGCCTTACTCCACCCTTGGTCATAGAAATGATGTAATTTGAATATAAATTATTTATAAATATGTATGTCAAGTTATATTTTTATTACGACGTAAAATATATTTAAGAGTTTACGACCACTGTGCTGGGTGAGACGTTGTTGAAACAAAAAAAATTATGTATTCCATCACGTACATAAACAGTGTTGTAATTCGTCAAGTGCAAATCAGTAAATTCGTAAAATTTTTGTTTATTTTGAACAATCCGGATAATCGAAAATCCGGATAATGGAGGTTCTACTGTAGTTAAGTTAGTATGTTCAATTTTATTCAGTGTTTTTTTCCAAAAACTAAAAACCTTGAAAAATACAGCTGTGGTGTAATGCAGTTTAAATATTTCAGAATCAATATGTGAGAATACAGGGGCTTTTACTTAAGTGATTAGCAATGTGCTCCCTATCAGAACTTACGGTCCACTCGTGTTGTGTAAGGATGGCTAAATCAAGTGGAAGTGAAGATCAAGATCGTGTGATCTCGATCGTGTCAGGATACTGACACCGGGTTAAATGATTATTTTGCGGTTTAACTAACAATTTAATTACTATTGCTATTTCTAAAAGGAGGACTAAATTATTTCAAGTGGGAAGTGCATAGGTAAGTAATAGGATGTCTGGCCATGAACAAACCAAAGACACTCAGTTAACAAAGGAATAACAACATTTAATAATACAAAATAAAATAAAATCAGTTTACAAATAGTTAAGATATAGTCTATTCCAACATTAAATCTCTTGTCCCTATTATGAGAGATATATGAGAGTGTTTACAAAAATAATATATTACCTCATTTATAATGTGATTGATAACAATACTTTGGGTGGAAGTTTTTTCTGAAGAAGTATGGCACAAATTATGGAGGATACAATGATGTGCAATGTGCACAGAGTTTGGCATGTATCCTGTATTTATACTATTTTTCTCCTCCAATAGAGGTTAAGAATTAAGATAATCTGACTGGGTGTCATGATGAGTCTTTTTGGTTTAGTCATCCCTTTAGTCATGGGAGGTAAAATTCTCTCTCTCAACACAGGAAACATTTGTTCCTTGTTATGTTTGATTTTTAGCTTTGATAAAAATTTCGAAATATTATATTTAATTTTTAAATTACAGTCGACCCCCTCCCATAACACTGTTGATTATTCCGTTTTATATGAATTCCATGTTGTACGAGTCACTTAGATTTTACAAATATGTGAGCCGTTCACAGCCTGGCACACACGGAGAAATTCAATTGGCTGGCCAACAAGCAGCCAGACATAAGAAAACAGAGGTAAAAAAACGGTTTGGAGGACAAGCGAGCTAATGGCATACAAAAAGAGGGTCAGAAAAATCAGGAAAAAAATGGAAAGATTGAGAAATGAAGAAAAGGAAAAAAGAATGAAAGAAACTTACAGAACAACACTAAAAACCTACAAAAAGCTAATAAACAACACACGAACAAAGGCGTGGAAAGAATTTTGTAGTAAAGCCCACAAAAATGGCCCGTGGGATATTCCTTATAAGGTGGCTTTTAATCAAAACAAGAAAACTCAAATCCCAAACCCCCTGGAACGGAACAGTGAAAATAACAATCCAAATATCACCGAAAGCATCCGGAACATCCTCAAATTTCATTTTCCGTCTGACAACAAAGAAGAAGAAAACGACAAACACAAGGATATAAGAGGAAATCTAAATAAAATAAACTCAACAACAGACGACATCCCATTCACCTTCAGAGAAGTGCAAAAGGCAATTGAAACCCTAGCCAACTGGAAATCACTGAGCCTAGACAGAATAACACCAGAAATGATTAAAGCCACATTCAGTGAAATTCCAATTGCATTCGTATTTTTATTCAATGAATACTTAAGGTTCAATTACTTCCCCAAAATATAGAAAAAATCTAACGTCAAATTTATTCCTAAATCGGAACATGCCAGCAAACCGGAGGAATTCAGGTCACTTAGCCTTCTCCCTGTGATGGGAAAGATAATGGATGGCCTAATTATAAACCGAATTAATTGTACCTTAACAACAGCAACAACACAAATAAAAAACAATATTGTTTCAAACAAGGCAGATCCACTATAGATGCTGCACTGAAAGCAAAAAAATTCATCCAAGACTCGTGGAAAGAAGGAAAACATGCCCTACTCGTTAGTATAGACTTTGAAAAGGCATTTGATAACCTATGGTGGCCAGGGGTTTTCAAAAGGTTAAATGAGGTAAAATGCCCAAAAACTTACAGGCAACATTACAAAGTTATCTAACTGATAGAATAGCCAGCTACTACACAAATAATATAACAGTGGAGATATAAATAAACAGAGGATGCCCATAAGGCTCAAGGAGTGGCCCTGAGATCTGGAACCTTGCCTTCGACAGCATGTTAAATGATTATGAGGAAAAAGAGCACACCAAGATCCAGGTCTTCGCAGATGACGTGCTACTTATGGTTGCACATAAAAACCGTGACAGACTGACGGAAGAGGCTAATAGGGAATTAAAAGCAATATCAGAATGGAGTAAATCCTATAAACAGCCCATAAATTACAATAAATGCAAATTGCTGGTGAGTACGAAAAAACGGAAGCAGGGCCAACTTAAAAGGCAACTGGGGGTACACATAGATGGCTATAACGTTAAAAACGTCAACCAGATGAAGTACTTAGGAATAATTTTTGATAGGAAAATCAACTGGCATGATCATGTAAATAGTATGTATAAAAAAATGGTTCAAAAAACAAACCTCTTGTCACACATCTCAAGAAATGCATGGGGATTGCACTTTAGAAGCAATAGACTAATTTATCAGGCCTCATTGGAGCCAGGTATTTTATACAGAGTCTAGGTATGGCATGAAGCCCTAACAGCATTCATGTAAGGAAGAATCCAACGGAGAACAACCATTAAAGTCTGTAGGGCTTATAGTACAGCACTGACAGATGCTCTCTGTGTTTTGGCCAACCTGCTCCCAATACACCTTAGTGCGAAGGAAGTGATGTGGAGATGGTACACAACAAACATCAACCTGCAAGACCTCAATGAGGAAACAACAAAACAGCACATCAAAAATGGTATCCTCCCACCCAATAGTGAGGAGCAATGGATAGAAGACATCAAAAAGCACAACATAGAGAAAGAAAAGAACTACAAACAGTTTATCCACCCATCTGACAAAAACAAGTACAAAATTATTTTCGATATAACAAACACAAAAAGTTAAAGCTCAAAATGGATCACCCACACTGATGGCTCCAAGACAACAACTGGAGTTGGAGCATATACTTTTACATACTTTAAAAAATCAGAAGAAAAACTCAACATTAGCTAAGGAGACAATACAACTAGCCCAAAGAATAGCAGGCACAAATAACTTAACTATACAGTGGATCGAAGCTCATGAGGGGAATGAGAGGGCCAACAAACTAGCAAAAAAAGCTACAACTACCTGTTCCAAAATTACATATATTAGGGTACCAAAGACTGAAATACACAAACATCATCATAAAATTGTCAAAGAACTGTGGCAAAGAGAGTGGGAGATCTCCACCACTGGGAGAAGTTGTTACAACTTCATCCCAAGGATACAGGATAGGAAAAAAAGTAAGACATTTAAACCGGACTATGAAATCACCCAGTGCTTCAATGGGCATGGAAACTTTGGATCGTATCTTTTCAGGTTCGTTAAGGCAACAACAAACACATGTGAAATCGACAACATTGAAGACAATGTAACGCATTTCTTATACTACTGCACTAACTATGAAGATATACAGCAGCAGCTTTACAGGGAATGCATAATGCAGGGGACAACTTGGCCTCCACAGGAAAATGACCTATTCAACAACAAGGACCTCTTGCATTGTCTCACTAAATTCATCAAAAACACTGGGAAACTAGCAATCCCTTTGCAAGGCAGCGAACAATCACAGACCAGGAATAGCCTACCTGATTCTGAGGACAACACAAGTGAGGATATCAGTGATGAAAGTTTCACCAATAGCAAAGATGAACTATGAAATAAACAGACCACCATGTAAATACTGTTTCTCTGTTAGGCATTGTAGCCATTTTGTCTATCTAAATTATTAAATTCATCTTTGAAAATTCTATATTTTTTATAAGGAACTAGCTGCAAGGACCCGCTTTGCTGGGTTTTTATTTGTTCGTACATTTGTATGTAATATAGTTTTTGTTTTTTATATACAAGGTCTGTTCAAAAAGTATCGGACCTTTGTTCTTCAAAAATAAATTTATTGACTTTAAGGTACAAAACCCTAATCCCCTTCAAAGTAGTCTCCTTGGTAGTGTATACACTTCTCCCAGCGTTCCTGCCATTGCTGGAACGCATCTTTTGGAATGGCCATCAGCCGGTCCGTCGGATTTCGCACGATGTCTTCTCTCGACTAAATTCGGTTTCGTTTTAGCGGCATTTTCAGCTTGGGAAATAGCCAAAGGTCACACGGAGCCATGTGGGGAGAGTACGGAGTGTG